GTTATTGCTTATGTCTGTTAAAAGTACCACCTATAGATGGAGGTATCTGAAACTTTCCAAAAACATGAATAATCTTCAGAAGCTGTCAGATTCTTCAGTATTTTATGAATGTTTACTTCAGCCTTGTATCTAAGGGATACACACTGCAGTACAAATTTCAAGGCCTTTGATTTTTTGCTTTGACTGTGGTTGATATTGACATTAAAAGATAAAAAATAGCTTTTGCTGTAATATTCAGCTGATTCAAATTGCACTATTCCAACTTTTCCTCACTCTGATGGCCAGCATCACTCAGCTGATTTTCTCTGAGCCTAGGCCATTCTAGGCCCTACCCATCCTATTACTGGACAGTGAAAAGGAAAATCATAACAGTGATGAGCTAATTTCTCTGAAAGCTTTCTCCTCCTTTCAAAATACTTATTGTTTCTACATGAACAAATTGGCTCCTTGTGCTGCTCTGTCCTCTCACACTCCAACTCCTCTGTACAGGACAGCAAGAGACTGATACCAGATCAAATTTGGGTACTTTCACTGCTTGTATTTAAAAAATAGTTATATATTCTTAATTACAGAACTACATTCATATATGTCTTTTAAATCTACTTTGAGTTCAGCTTCGAAATAATTTACCTAGGAGGAGACTGTAACAGAGCATGTTCATTGCACTGTACAGAAGAAAGGGTAACAGAATATTTTGTTCCAGTTCTTCTGCTTTAATCCATGATTAAGGATATCTGAAAACTATTACACCAAATTGAGCTAAGAAATGAAAGACTTTGTCATCAAACATCTGAAATCAATCCTGCTGAAGTACATGTTACAAAATCCTTTTATTTTTACATAATGCTAGATGAAGCATTGAGTGAGACAGGCACAAACTCATGAATTATTTATGTACAAACTTAAACATTGCAAATGATAAAGCAACATACATTATTTTCAACTCAGAGTTTTGTTCATATATATATATTCTTCATCCAACATTAATATTTTATTCATTTGTATTTTCATATTCTCTATATCAAACATCAAAGAGAAGGGAAATGTAAGGAAGAGATATAGTTGGAAAACATCAAATAAATAACACAAAACAACTTGAGAGCAGTACCTAGCCGGAGAATCTTTTCACTTCTATTTGCATGGATGCAGTAAGGGCAGTACAATCATGTTGTCTAATATTGGTAAAAGGCGCCTCAAATGTCATAATCATGACATTTGAGGCTATTAGATCCAAGATGTTTGTTGTGTGAAACAACTTCAGATATAAACAAGTGGATACATAATTTGTCAAGGATTGTATCCAGTGGATGGCCTTTTAAAAGTGGAAACTTTTGAAAACTGGAGTAAACAATTTCAAAATATTCTCACAGGTCTTGCTGAAGACTTGTGAAACTCATTCAAAGGGCACCATGCAGAGTTAAAGCCCAACTTTTTTTTTTTACAATCTCTATTCCCGCCTACCAAAAGCAATATTCACCCTTTCCACACTTTAATGCAGCACTCCTTGTCTTCCTCCAGTCCTATCTGCTGCCCGTTCTGGGTTGAATGATTATTTAATGATGGGTCATTCAACCTACTTCCAATAAGCCCAGGGCATCAAGGACAGCAATCCACCCTGGGCTCACAGGATAATGATGCAGAGAACAGGGCTAGCTTCAATCTGTGAGCGCCATTTTCTGCATCATTGAGGACTGCCTACCACTGCTACAGGGGGACATCATGTAACCAAAACCAAAGATAGCAGTAAAAAAAAAATTATAGTAAAGATTAAACAATATGAAGGAGAGGGACTCCAAGTGCCTTAAAATTATGCTTTCAACTAGAAACACTGTAACTTTGCATATTGCTACAGTGCCAACATCATACATTACACTGATTATCAGATATTGTAATAAAACATTTTATAAATAAATGTAGATATAATTGCTGCCTGGAGAAAAATCATGGTATTCTTGTAGATCATAAACATATTAACAGCATGCAATGTCAATCCATATTTGGTTCTTTTGAAAGAGATATAGACATTTTACTAAATTATTTTGCGTTATGTTTTGTACAAGAAAATTCTTTAAAAATGTTGGAAAGTTCTAATAAATATTTTATTATTTAACCTTTGTATTTTTGTCCAGGAAATAGAGGTGTAAGCCAGCTTTTCGGGGGAAAAAAAATCCCCTCAGGGGGTCATTTTGTGGAGTACAAAATATAGAGTTGATCAATTTACTTGTTTTTTGAAAGTTCAAAAATTAACATCTAGTAGCAGCTAGTGACATTCAAACGGATATGTTCTGTAACACTGACATTTCACTGCTCATCTATAAAGCTTTCTTATTCCAAATGAGCATAAAGAACATGCCACAGCATTTATAGCCATACAGATAATACAGTTACCTTGTCCAATCTGGAAGGAGAACGAGAGAAACATTTTTTTAAGCTCAAAAATTTCCCACAAAAAAAAGGAATTATGGTGAATTGATCACTTTTATAGATATAATCTTATAAAGATAACAACTTTCACAGACTCAATCCACTTGCCAATTTGAATTTTATTGCTTTCCACTCACATTTATTAACACTGAAGCTGCTTAGACTGGGATTACCCTTGCAAGTTTTTTTTCCGCATCACACCAGTACAAAGCTAAATATTCAGCCTTCTGACTATTTGGTTTGCATAAACCCACTATCTGCTTCTGCCCAGACTACATTTCTCTCAGGAGTCAGCCTGGATAAAGTGCCTCTCTGTAACCCCAGCCCTACTGCCCCTATACCCCCCCCCCCCCCCCCCCGCTCCCTAAAGTTTTTTAGATCTATTTATTATTATAAATAGAGCCTTATGGATACCTAATTTTCCTGCTTGTTGCTCAGGTGATGTCACAATTACTTCCTCTTTTTCTTCTTCAATGGCAACTATGACCAGTCCTGGACTAAGAAGTGCTCACATAATAACTTTTGTAAGTTGCTAACTCCAAGGAATACTTGGTTTCACATTACTCCTTGACTAAGCCACATACACCTGCACTCCCAGGAAGTGGGTTGAACAACACTAGCCACCATTCAATCTGGAATGAGAGTGTTGACCAGAACTGAGACCCATGGGTCTGTAGAAGACAGCACCAAAAAAAGGTGAATATTGCAGCGAAAGCTGCTCTTTTTATTTTCCCAATGACTAGAAATAGATTATGAACAAATTCACTGTTTGTTAGGAGACAATTGTAAAAAGGACAAAAAATTGAGAAGCAATCCAGACAGGTGTTACTAGAAAAGATTATCTGGGAAACATTTCAGTGGAGCACTTGTACTTCTATTTTCACTTCAGCTCCTTTTAATAGAATAGGAATTAAAAGTAAATCTTCTTAGCAATTACCCAGGCAGCAGTAAAAGAACCGGCAGGTGTTATAATAAATGAATGAGTTCAAAGTTTGGAATTAACTATGATATGACTGTTCAGGCATTTGCCTGCATGCCAGACTTTTAGCTCATTTGGCGATAGTAGAACATCATATATAGTTGTGACATTTCTACCTCTACTATATATGACAGCTTCCTATTTGTCAATGGTTGCTAAGGAAGTAGAGGGTTCCATCACCTGCTGTGTCCTTAACAACCAGAGATGTATCTTGGTCCTATTAATTTACTGGCCAGGAATCCCTAGACAGGTATACAAAGGGATGGGAATAGCATGACATTACCAAACCCAAAGGGTCTGGAATGGAATATAAAGGGACACTGCTTTTTTGTCTTAGAGTGCGCTTACAGCCATTTACAGTAGTCACATGATCACCGATCCTTTCCTGGGCTTTCAGAACTTTTTTCTTGTTAAATTTTTTTTATGGAAAGTGTAACATATCAGGTTACAAACATAAACCAGTATGAGATAAGATGCAGCCAAACATAGACTGAAAATAACAATAAGAAGTATATTATACATAACAACAATTGTTACAATATATGGTGCAGGGTGTTTAAACAGGGTGAGAAAATGACTCATAACTGAATGACAAGCTGGAGGCACAAGCTTCTAAGTTTGAGTTAGTTATAGTAAAGTAATTTGCTTACCCTGGGGCATATGAGTACCTTGCTCCGATGGAGCGAGAGGCTGTAACACTACGTTCCCACCAGGGAAGTATCCAGAAACTGCATGAAAGAACCTGTGGGAAGAATATGGGATAGAACAGGAGTTAGAGAGGGGGAGAGTGTGGGGGGGATGTGAAGAGGGGAGGGGGGATATAAATGTGAAGACAAAGATAAAGAGATAAAGATAAGTCCTCTAGGAGGGGCCAGGACCACAATCATCTGGAGTGAATTGAGTTGTTTAACTTGCGGCTGAGCTGTCATGGTAGCAGCAAAGTAACATCAAAATCCGAGGGTAAAAAGTGAGTGACCAAAGGTTTCTAGAGTTTTTCATAGGTGGATACTCTGTCCAGAAGGGTTGCTTCGATTTTGGCATGAATCATCGCCTGTGTAATCCTGTGGTTCATTGCAATGATATTTATTAAGGGAGACTTCCAAGCCTTTGCTATGGTTTGTTTAGCAGCAGTGGTGATTTGGAGTAGAAGTTTGAATTGATGGTGAGTAAGGCCCAAGGGTTTGTTATTCAGTAGAGCCGCTGTGGGATCAGGAGCTGGTGATACTTCAAAGAGCGTTGAGAGGATCTGAAACACTGCAGACCAAAAGATCTGTACTATGGGACATTCCCACCATATATGGGCATGTGTACCCAGATTATTACATCCTCAAAAGCACTGTGGAGGGTATTGTGGGAGAAACTTAGAGATCCTGGCAGGGACCAAGTACCATCTGGTTAGCATGTACTGTAATATTAGCGGAGGATGATTTTGTTGCCTCCCAGATACGGCACCAAGCATCATGATTAGAGATGAGAGAATTATTCAAAAATTCGATTCGACTGATTCGGCGAATTCGTGAAAAAATTTCGATTCGAGTCGAATATATTCGCTGCGAATTTAACTTATAAAAGGGTGTTTCTAGGCTTCAGAGAGCCTTTATATTAGTGCAGAACACTGTACCTTTAATTTAAATGCCCTTGGAGTCTGCTGGGGAAGAGAAATAATACTGACAGTCAGTATGACATGCAGATGAGTGCCGTCGATCTTAGAATCACCGCACACTTCACTCATTTGGGCAGTCACGGGCCAAAACCAGAGTGTGGAGCCACAGTGTGGCGGTGGAGGCAGCAGCAATGGGAGGCCATACAGCACCCTATGACAAAAATGGAAACCACCAGCAGTGTGAAGAGACCTGAAAGTGGCACATGGCAGAGTGTGGCGATGGAGACAGCAGCAATGGGAGGCCGTACAGGGACCCATGACACACTCTGGACCTGGCAGCAGCATGAGGAGGCGGTACAGGGGCCCATGACAGATTACGGGCCTGGCAGCAGCATGAGGAGTTGGTATGGGGGCCCATGGCAGATTACGGGCCTGGCAGCAGCAATGGAAGGCCGTACAGGGACCCATGACACACTCTGGACCTGGCAGCAGCATGAGGAGGGCGGTACAGGGGCCCATGACAGATTACGGGCCTGGCAGCAGCAGCATGAGGAGTCGGTACGGGGGCCCATGACACACTCTGGACCTGGCAGCAGCATGAGGAGGCGGTACAGGGGCGCATGACAGATTACGAGCCTGGCAGCAGCAACTTGGACAGGAGGACGTTCAGCTTCTGCACCGTCGGGTGCGTGCTCGCAAACTGTTGTCTCTTGGAAACGGATTCCAAGAAAGACTGCTGACGGAATCCGTGAAGAGGAGTAGCAGGAGAAGGAGCATCTGAACGAGCGGAATATGCCAACAAGCGACAACAGGGGCCCATGACAGATTACGGGCCTGGCAGCAGCATGAGGAGTCGGTACGGGGGCCCATGGCAGATTACGGGCCTGGCAGCAGCTATGGGAGGCCCGTAATCTGCCAGCACCCTATGACAAAAAATGGAACACACCAGCAGTGTGTGAGGAGACCTGAAAGTGGCACATGGCAGAGTGTGTGGCGATGGAGACGGCAGCAATGGGAGGCCGTACAGGGACCCATGAGAGACTCTGGACCTGGCAGCAGCATGAGGAGGCGGTACAGGGGCCCATGGCAGATTAGGGGCCTGGCAGCAGCTATGGGAGGCCCGTAATCTGCCAGCACCCTATGACAAAAAATGGAACACACCAGCAGTGTGAGGAGACCTGAAAGTGGCACATGGCAGAGTGTGGCGATGGAGACAGCAGCAATGGGAGGCCGTACAGGGACCCATGAGAGACTGTGGACCTGGCAGCAGCATGAGGAGGCGGTACAGGGGCCCATGGCAGATTAGGGGCCTGGCAGCAGCAATGGGAGGCCCGTAATCTGCCAGCACCCTATGACAAAAAATGGAACACACCAGCAGTGTGTGAGGAGACCTGAAAGTGGCACATGGCAGAGTGTGGCGATGGAGACAGCAGCAATGGGAGGCCGTACAGGGACCCATGAGAGACTCTGGACCTGGCAGCAGGATGAGGAGGCGGTACAGGGGCCCATGGCAGATTAGGGGCCTGACAGCAGCTATGGGAGGCCCGTAATCTGCCAGCACCCTATGACAAAAAATGGAACACACCAGCAGTGTGAGGAGACCTGAAAGTGGCACATGGCATGAGACACTGTGGACCTGGCAGCAGCATGAGGAGGCGGTACAGGGGCCCATGGCAGATTAGGGGCTGGCAGCAGCTATGGGAGGCCCGTAATCTGCCAGCACCCTATGACAAAAAATGGAACACACCAGCAGTGTGAGGAGACCTGAAAGTGGCACATGGCAATGAGACACTGTGGATCTGGCAGCAGCATGAGGAGGCGGTACAGGGGCCCATGGCAGATTAGGGGCCTGGCAGCAGCTATATGGGAGGCCCGTAATCTGCCAGCACCCCCTATGACAAAAAATGGAACACACCAGCAGTGTGAGGAGACCTGAAAGTGGCACATGGCATGGACACACTGTGGACCTGGCAGCATGCATGAGGAGGCGGTACAGGGGCCCATGGCAGATTAGGGGCCTGGCAGCAGCTATGGGAGGCCCGTAATCTGCCAGCACCCTATGACAAAAAATGGAACACACCAGCAGTGTGAGGAGACCTGAAAGTGGCACACATGGCATGAGACAGCACTGGAGGCCGTACAGGGACCCATGAGAGACTCTGGACCTGGCAGCAGCAGCATGAGGAGGCGGTACAGGGGCCCATGGGCAGATTAGGGGCCTGGCAGCAGCTATGGGGGCCCGTAATCTGCCAGCACCCTATGACAAAAAATGGAACACACCAGCAGTGTGAGGAGACCTGAAAGTGGCACATGGCAGCACAGGGTGTGGCGATGGAGACAGCAGCAATGGGAGGGCCGTACAGGGACCCATGAGAGACTCTGGACCTGGCAGCAGCATGAGGAGGCATGAGGAGGGTATAGGGGCCCATGGCAGATTAGGGGCCTGGCAGCAGCTATGGGAGGCCCGTAATCTGCCAGCACCCTATGACAAAAAATGGAACCACACCAGCAGTGTGAGTGAGACCTGAAAGTGGCACATGGCAGAGTGTGGCGATGGAGACAGCAGCAATGGGAGGCCGTACAGGGACCCATGAGAGACTCTGGACCTTGGCAGCAGCATGAGGAGGCGGTATAGGGGCCCATGGCAGATTAGGGGCCTGGCAGCTATGGGAGGCCCGTAATCTGCCAGCACCCTATGACAAAAAATGGAACACACCAGCAGTGTGAGGAGACCTGAAAGTGGCACATGTTTGGGGCATGATTCATGGCGGATTTAGTCAGTTGTGTCAGGAACTGGTGGTTTGAAATCCAGACTAATCCACGCCTGATTCATTTTCACAAACGTGAGTCTCTCCACACTTTGGGTGGACAGTCGTGTCCTCCGCGGAGTTACAATACCTCCTGCCGCACTAAACACGCGCTCCGATGCCACGCTACTGGCCGGGCATGACAGCCTTTCAAGGGCAAATTCAGCTAGTTGGGGCCAAAGGTCAAGTTTCGTTGCCCAGTAGTCAAGGGGATTGTCTACCTCGGTTGGCAGGGTGCTGTCCAAGTAGGCCTAAGCCTGTTGTTTGAGGTCCTGCTCCAGGTCCACCTGATGCTGCTGCTGCTGCGGTTAGTTAGTTTCCTCACTGCACTGGTGAAGAAAGCTACTCATCATCGACTGCAGACTGAGGCAGCTGCTGCTGGTGGAGCTGCCACTGCTCCTACCACCCCACCCCTCCCCTGCTGCCATGGCAGCGGAACGCGAGCGCACAGGGCCCACAGTGTCTGAGGATGGACGTTGGCGCAGAAAGGCAGAGACCAGCTGACTACATAGGTGGTTTTTATAGTACGTTATTTTGGCCTCCCTCTCAGCAGGTGTGAAAAAGGCCACCATTTTTGAACGGTAGCGAGGGTCCAACAAGGTGGACAGCCAAAAGTCATCCCTCTGTCTGATGGTTATTATTCGGCTGTCGTACGCAAGCAAGCGAGCATGCTATGGGCCATTTGTGCCAAGGAATGCGAGGGACTCCCTGCCTCCATCTCCACAGCATACTGCCACGGTGCGTCTGGGTCCTCTGTCCTCTCCTCCTCTACCAGATGCTCCTGCTCCTCCACTCCTGTCCGCTGAGTGGAAAAACCACCCATTTCACTCAATAATTCCTGAGCACCAATGTCCTCCTCTACCTCCTCCTCTTCTTCCTGTCCTGCCCCCACAGGGGTCATGTGGCGTTGAGATCTGTGCGCCACGTCTACCGCACCCTGACCAGCCATTGTTAACAGCATTTGTTCCAGGATGTGCAACAGAGGAATGACGTCGTTCATCCCATAGTCCTGCCGACTCACGAATAGCGTGGCCTCCTCAAAGGGCCTGAGCAAGCGCAGGTGTCACGCATGAGCTGCCAATGGCTGACATCTAAGTTACACAGGGAGTACCTTTATCCGCTTTTAACATCAGGAAATCTGTGATGGCCCTTTGCTGTTCGTAAAGGCGGTCTAACATATGTAGGGTTGAATTCCACCTTGTTGCAACGTCACAGCTCAAATGAGGAGTCGGTACGGGGGCCCATGGCAGATTACGGGCTGGGCTGGCAGCAGCAATGGTAGGCCCGTAATCTGCCAGCACCCTATGACAAAAAATGTAACACACCAGCAGTGTGAGGAGACCTGAAAGTGGCACATGGCAGAGTGTGGCGATGAGACAGCAGCAATGGGAGGCCGTACAGGGACCCATGAGAGACTCTGGACTGGCAGCAGCATGAGGAGGCGGTATAGGGGCCCATGGCAGATTAGGGGCCTGGCAGCAGCTATGGGAGGCACGTAATCTGCCAGCACCCTATGACAAAAAATGAACACACCAGCAGTGTGAGGAGACCTGAAAGTGGCACATGGCAGAGTGTGGCGATGGAGACAGCAGCAATGGGAGGCCGTACAGGGACCCATGAGAGACTCTCTGGACCTGGCAGCAGCATGAGGAGGCGGTATAGGGGCCCATGGCAGATTAGGGGCCTGGCAGCAGCTATAGGAGGCCCCGTAATCTGCCAGCACCCTATGACAAAAAATGGAACACACCAGCAGTGTGAGGAGACCTGAAAGTGGCACCAGCAGTGTGGGAGACCTGAAAGGGCCGTGGACCATGAGACACTCTGGACCTGGCAGCAGCATGAGGAGGCGGTATAGGGGCCCATGGCAGATTAGGGGCCTGGCAGCAGCTATGGGAGGCCCGTAATCTGCCAGCACCCTATGACAAAAAATGGAACACACCAGCAGTGTGAGGAGACCTGAAAGTGGCACATGGCAGAGAGTGTGGCGATGGAGACAGCAGCAATGGGAGGCCGTACAGGGACCCATGAGAGACTCTGGACCTGGCAGCAGCATGAGGAGGCGGTATAGGGGCCCATGGCAGATTAGGGGCCTGGCAGCAGCTATGGGAGGCCCGTAATCTGCCAGCACCCTATGACAAAAAATGGAACACACCAGCAGTGTGATGAGGAGACCTGAAAGTGGCACATGGCAGAGTGTGGCGATGGAGACAGCAGCAATGGGAGGCCGTACAGGGACCCATGAGAGACTCTGGACTGGCAGCAGCATGAGGAGGAGGCGGTATAGGGGCCCATGGCAGATTAGGGGCCTGGCAGCAGCTATAGGAGGCCCGTAATCTGCCAGCACCCTATGACAAAAAATGGAACACACCAGCAGTGTGAGGAGACCTGAAAGTGGCACATGGCATGAGACACTGTGGACCTGGCTGGAGCAGCAGCATGAGGAGGCGGTATAGGGGCCCATGGCAGATTAGGGGCCTGGCAGCAGCTATGGGAGGCCCGTAATCTGCCAGCACCCTATGACAAAAAATGGAACACACCAGCAGTGTGAGGAGACCTGAAAGTGGCACATGGCATGGCATGAGGACACTGTGGACCTGGCAGCAGCATGAGGAGGCGGTACGTACAGGGGCCCATGGCAGATTAGGGGCCTGGCAGCAGCTATAGGAGGCCCCGTAATCTGCCAGCACCCTATGACAAAAAATGGAACACACCAGCAGTGTGAGGAGACCTGAAAGTGGCACATGGCAGAGTGTGGCGATGGAGACAGCAGCAATGGGAGGCCGTACAGGGACCCATGAGAGACTCTGGACCTGGCAGCAGCATGAGGAGGCGGTATAGGGGCCCATGGCAGATTAGGGGCCTGGCAGCAGCTATGGGAGGCCCGTAATCTGCCAGCACCCTATGACAAAAAATGGAACACACCAGCAGTGTGATGAGACCTGAAAGTGGCACATGGCAGCAAGAGTGTGGCGATGGAGACAGCAGCAATGGGAGGCCGTACAGGGACCCATGAGAGACTCTGGACCTGGCAGCAGCATGAGGAGGCGGTATAGGGGCCCATGGCAGATTAGGGGCCTGGCAGCAGCTATAGGAGGCCGTAATCTGCCAGCACCCTATGACAAAAAATGGAACACACCAGCAGTGTGAGGAGACTGAAAGTGGCACATGGCATGAGAGACACTGTGGACCTGGCAGCAGCATGAGGAGGCGGCGGTATAGGGGCCCATGGCAGATTAGGGGCCTGGCAGCAGCTATGGGAGGCCCGTAATCTGCCAGCACCCTATGACAAAAAATGGAACACACCAGCAGTGTGAGGAGACCTGAAAGTGGCACATGGCAGAGTGTGGCGATGGAGACAGCAGCAATGGGAGGCCGTACAGGGACCCATGAGAGACTCTGGACCTGGCAGCAGCATGAGGCGGCGGTATAGGGTCCCATGGCAGATTAGGGGCCTGGCAGCAGCTATGGGGGGCCCGTAATCTGCCAGCACCCTATGACAAAAAATGGAACACACCAGCAGTGTGAGGAGACCTGAAAGTGGCACATGGTAGAGTGTGGCGATGGAGACAGCAGCAATGGGAGGCCGTACAGGGACCCATGAGAGACTCTGGACTTGGCAGCAGCATGAGGAGGCGGTATAGGGGCCCATGGCAGATTAGGGGCCTGGCAGCAGCTATGGGAGGCCCGTAATCTGCCAGCACCCTATGACAAAAAATGGAACACACCAGCAGTGTGAGGAGACCTGAAAGTGGCACATGTTTGGGGCATGATTCATGGTGGATTTAGTCAGTTGTGTCAGGAACTGGTGGTTTGAAATCCAGACTAATCCACGCCTGATTCATTTTCACAAACGTGAGTCTCTCCACACTTTGGGTGGACAGTCGTGTCCTCCGCGGAGTTACAATACCTCCTGCCGCACTAAACACGCGCTCCGATGCCACGCTACTGGCCGGGCATGACAGCCTTTCAAGGGCAAATTCAGCTAGTTGGGGCCAAAGGTCAAGTTTCGTTGCCAGTAGTCAAGGGGATTGTCTACCTTGGTTGGCAGGGTGCTGTCCAAGTAGGCCCAAGCCTGTTGTTTGAGGTCCTGCTCCAGGGCCACCTGATGCTGCTGCTGCTGCTGCGGCTGGTTAGTGTTTCCTCACTGCGCTGGTGAAGAAAGCTACTCATCATCGACTGCAGACTGAGGCAGCCGCTGCTGGTGGAGCTGCCACTGCTCCTACCACCCCACCCTCCCCTGCTGCCATGGCAGCGGAACGCGAGCGCACAGGGCCCACAGTGTCTGAGGATGGACGTTGGCGCAGAAAGGCAGAGACCAACTGACTACATAGGTGGTTTTTATAGTACGTTATTTTGTCCTCCCTCTCAGCAGGTGTGAAAAAGGCCACCATTTTTGAACGGTAGCGAGGGTCCAACAAGGTGGACAGCCAAAAGTCATCCCTCTGTCTGATGGTTATTATTCGGCTGTCGCTACGCAAGCAACCGAGCATGCTATGGGCCATTTGTGCCAAGGAATGCGAGGGACTCCCTGCCTCCATCTCCACAGCATACTGCCACGGTGCATCTGGGTCCTCTGTCTCCTCCTCCTCCTCCTCTACCAGATGCTCCTGCTCCTCCACTCCTGTCCGCTGAGTGGAAAAACCACCCATTTCACTCAATAATTCCTGAGCACAAATGTCCTCCTCTACCTCCTCCTCTTCTTCCTGTCCTGCCCCCACAGGGGTCATGTGGCGTTGAGATCTGTGTGCGCCACGTCTACCGCACCCTGACCAGCCATTGTTAACAGCATTTGTTCCAGGATGTGCAACAGAGGAATGACGTCGTTCATCCCATAGTCCTGCCGACTCACGAATAGCGTGGCCTCCTCAAAGGGCCTGAGCAAGCGGCAGGTGTCACGCATGAGCTGCCAATGGCTGACATCGAAGTTACACAGGGGAGTACCTTTATCCGCTTGTAACATCAGGAAATCGGTGATGGCCTTTCGCTGTTCGTAAAGGCGGTCTAACATGTGTAGGGTTGAATTCCACCTTGTTGCAACGTCGCAGATCAGGCGATGCTGTGGAATTCCGTTCTGCCGCTGCAGCTCAAGGAAGGTGTGCTTTGCGGTGTAGGAATGGCTGAAATGCATGCAAAGTTTACGTGACATTTTAAGGATGTCTTGCAGTGGGATGGTGGATTTTAGGAACCGCTTGACAACCAGATTGAACACGTGAGCCATGCATGGCGCATGGCACAACCTTCCTTGACGCAGAGCAGACACCATGTTCTTTCCGTTGTCGGTCAACATGGTTCCGATTTTAAGTTTGCGCGGAGACAGCCATCTGTCGATTTCTCTGTTCATTACACTGAGAAGTTCCTCCCCTGTGTGACTACGTTCGCCAAGGCATACCAGGTGCAGCACAGCGTGACACCGTTGCGCCTGAACATGTGATATGCCGGTCGGGTAATGGGACTTGGCACGGGGGTGGCGGCTGAGGACACGGCGGAAAAAGAGGTGGTATAGGCGGACATCTTTGCCGGACCAAGGACGTGCAAACGTGGAGGCAAAAGCGGCGTGACCTGTTCCAAGTTGCTGGTGCGGCTGTGACGGCACCACGTTCACCCAGTGGGCCGTAAATGACATGTACTGTTCCTGACCGTAGTTACAGCTCCATACGTCAGCGCTGCCGTGCACTTTGGCAGAGACCGACATGCTCAAAGACTGGCCCACCATCTCTTCTACATGTGAATGCAGGGCTGGCACTGCCTTTTTTGGCGAAGAAATGAGACAGCCATCTGTCGATTTCTCTGTTCATTACACTGAGAAGTTCCTCCCCTGTGTGACTACGTTCGCCAAGGCATACCAGGTGCAGCACAGCGTGACACCGTTGCGCCCTGCACATGTGATATGCCGGTCGGGGTCGAAAATGGAACTTGGCACGGGGGTGGCGGCTGAGGACACGGCGGAAAAAGAGGTGGTAGAGGCGGACATCTTTGCCCGGACCAAGGACGTGCAAACGTGGAGGCAAAAAGCGGCGTGACCTGTCCAAGTTGCTGGTGCGGCTGTGACGGCACCACGTTCACCCAGTGGGCCGTAAATGGACATGTACTGTTCCTGACCGTAGTTACAGCTCCATACGTCAGCGCTGCTGTGCACTTTGGCAGAGACCGACATGCTCAAAGACTGGGCCCACCATCTCTTCTACATGTGAATGCAGGCTGGCACTGCCTTTTTTGGCGAAGAAATGACGGCTTGGCACTCTCCTCCGCGGCGCGGCACAAGCCATCATTTCTCGGAAAGGTGCTGAGTCCACCACTTGGAAAGGGAGGGACTGCAGCACCAGCAACTTGGACAGGAGGACGTTCAGCTTTTGCACCGTCGGGTGCGTGCTCGCAAAACTGTTGTCTCTTGGAAACGGATTCCAAGAAATGACTGCTGACGGAATCCGTGAAGAGGAGTAACAGGAGAAGGAGCATCAGAACGAGCGGAAGATGCCAACGAGCGACAACTCCCCTCAGAGAGGTGTTTGAGCCTTGACTGGATCTGATAGAGGGCGATTGACGTCGGGTGACGGAGCAAGTAACGGAGCGGGTGATGGAGCGGAGGGCTGGGGCGGGCAGAACCGCCGTATCTTTTATCACGGTTTTCCCAGGCCACCAAATGGCGACGCTCGTGCATATGCTGCCGCAACGCTGTAGTCCCAACATGGGTCCCCTGGCCACGCTTGACTTTCTGGCCACATAGTCGACATACGGCTACGTTTACTTCCTCGGGCGGCTTGACAAAAAATTGCCACCCGCCGAGTAGGAAACTTTGCCCCCCGATACTCCTCACTCACTGGCTGACTGCTGCTTCCTCCGTGCACACCGGCACCACTACTGGCCCGTGGTGGTAGGCTGCAGTGGAGCTGGTGCTCTACTCCATGGCCGTTTGCCTCCACTGACACTGCTGTGACCCTGCTGCCTCCTGGGCAACACCACCGACTGTTTTGCTCGCTGCCAAGCTGGCACCCTCTTCTCCTGATGATGCGGAAGCAATAGCCTGATGACGACGAGGCTGCCAAGTGCGATCAGCCTCATCATCATCAATTAGGGTCTCCGCCTCACTACTAGCCCCCTCGGCTGCTTGTGGGTCAGGAGACAGACCTGTCTCTAGACCGGCTACCGAGCCACTCTCCTCGCCAGTACTTCTTCACCTGGCTGCTGAAGAGGCGGATGTCTCCCCCCCGTTCCTGACTGCCCTCTGTTAGCTCTTCCTCACTGTACAGTGGGGCTGAGCCCACAGCATACGATACTTCGCTTGGTGAGGGAACACCAAGGACAGGGGCAGGTCGAGGACACGTGATTTCAGTGGGGCTTGCTCCCGGGCCATGCCAACTAACGGTTTGTGTCTGACGTACCCACCGACCGTTGGCTGTAGGTGGTCAGAGGTGACCTGGGAAGAGGAAGACGACCGAGCCAACCAATCGATGTTGGCAGGGTTGTCGGTGGAGACACGACCGCTGGATGACACACCGGGAGCACTGGCCTCTGGCTGCGACTAGTGCTGCCTCGACCCCTTCCTCTGCTGCCACGTCTGCTCGCTCCTAAAACATTGCCTCCTCTGCCACTCCTATGCATGTTGTCTGACATACTCTTTAATTAAAACGATTCTGTGTCCCTGAGTAAAAACAATTTCTGTGTCTGTCCCTGAGTAACAATTCTGTGTCTGTCCTGAGTAACAATTCTGTGTCCCTGAGTAACAATTCTGTGTCCCTCAGTAACAATTCTGTGTCCCTCAGTAAACAATTCTGTGTCCCTCAGTAAAAATTCTGTGTCCCTCAGTAACAATTCTGTGTCCCCTCAGTAACAATTCTGTGTCCCTCAGTAACAATTCTGTGTCTGTCCCTGAGTAACAATTCTGTGTCTGTCGCTGAGTAACAATTCTGTGTCCCTCAGTAACAATTCTGTGTCCCTCAGTAACAAATTTGTGTCTGTCCCTGAGTAACAATTCTGTGTCCCCAGTAAAACAATTCTGTGTCCCTCAGTAACAATTCTGTGTCCCTGAGTAACAATTATGTGTCCTGAGTAACAATTCTGTGT